TGTGAGAGATGTAATTCCAGAATGGAATACTCAAGAAGTTGACCTGTGAGTAATGTTTCAACAGGTATAAAAGTAACTGAGGTTTGAAATGTAGAAAGAACATATTACAGTTAAAGCTAAAACATAGTAATGTAATGACAGAATTTAATTTAGACAACATCATGTAACTAGCCTGGTAAAGAAGTAAAAGCCATAGACTTTATTGTTTAGGTCATTATGAGGATATACATTTCATCTAAATTTATAAGACATTTGATGACAGTTTGTTGGAATTCTGTATTCATTTTTTCAGCGTGATAATATCTAAGCACTGACAGGTAGAAGCAGTATCACCAGGAAATCATTCACTTTGTTAGTATCATGATTTTGGTTGTTTTTGAATCCATAACATTAGTGTTTTTCTTTACCAGAAACATTAGCAGTTCATATTATATTTAGATTTTAAATAGGATCTCAAGGATTTCATTTAAAAATAAACACAGATGCTTGTCAGAAATTCAGAGCTATTGAAATATGTTATTTAGTTTACCTAAAGATGTTTGGGTTCTTATTTAGTTGGCACAATCCAAGTACTAAGATTCTGAAGCTGTACTGGCAGATAGGAGGTCTACAATTAATTTAGAAAACCTGTTCACAGACGGCTGTTGTTTCAAGACACCCCACCAACAGGCTCCAAGTGGGTCAAAACAGCTGAGCGTAGGCTTGAGGGAGTTGTATCAGATTTCTCCACACAGGTCGCTGGCGCCAAAAGGGGGACCCGAGAAGCACGAGGCCGACACAGCGGTGTTCGTCTGGCTGAAAGTCATCAGGACAAAGTGGCTCAACCCCAGGCTCTCCGACCCCGACCGAGTGACCCAGCGGACCTCTTATGCCGTCTGCCTGGGAGAAAAGGGGGACAGCTCGTACCACGGGAGACAGTGTGCGGCGGGAAAACACCTGCGAGGACCAGGGGACGACATCAGGACAGACCTGGCCCTCGTCAAGGCAGTCGACCCGGGAGGCATCATCAGCGGTCCGGAGAAGGAGAATCGGGAAGACATCTCTCCAGCATCGATCCGGAAGCCGCCATCAGCGGGCCGGAGGAGGAGGAGGAGGAAGACATCTCTCTAGCAGGCAGCCCAGAAGCTGCTGTCAGCGGATCGGGGGGACAAAGACACGACAAGCCAGGACGGCACAGGGGACTTGTCGAGGCAGCAGAGGAGTCTACTTCTCTGATCAGTTCCACCCGTGAAGGGCTAGCCGCATCTCCCCCTCCCTATCAGCTGCCCCTTGTTGGCGTATTCCTCTGAGGGGGGGGGCTGATGATTCACCACACAAGGAGACTGCACTAGCACCCAGCTGCCCCCTCATGGTTCCTTCACTGCCATGGAAAGTGGTGTTCTGTCTCCATGAAGGTTTCAAGTACTCTAAATACCAGCTTCGGATGGATTTATACAATGTTTGGGGGACGGACACAGTAGAAAAGAATGACAGTGGGTATATGTTTCAAGTGCCTTGTGTAAATTGCACTCTTTTAAAAGAGTGCAAAAGGGGGAATTGCGGAAGTTTATGAAGAGTATTATGCAGAAGATGTGATGCAGCATATTTTTGGTATATTCATTTTAATCTCACCAATATATAAGAGGTGTATTGCATCATGTTATCCCTAAATATATGTGTGGGTATATACATTCCTGTGTATTAATAGTTGAAGGAACAAAATACATTTTTCCTCTTAAATATAGAGAGGTTTTTTATAGATTCCTGAAACAATGTTCCCTTTTTCTTTAAAGTAGATTAGCGCAATAGTCTTTTTCTTTCACTTGTACCCTTTTCATCAAAAGGGTGCTTTGGGCTATTTTTGAGGGGTAAAATGCAGAATTACCTGTGAGTTCTGTTTTGAGTGAAAAGATTACCCTTTTGAGTGTTTTTCTTGGTTAACCATTAGATATAGTGGCTAAATTCGTTCTAAGTTAATTATGCGCATCCTGCAGGCCTTGAGAATTTAGTCACACAGTTAAGAGAGACAATGGTCCTTTTAGACTAAGGGTGAGCTTACTTCGGGTGAATAAAAGTTCAGAGATGATTGGGGGGGGTATGAAGACAGTTAGGCTTGTTGGTGAGCTAGTTCTGAGGATGTCATGGGATAATGACTGTTATATTCCCAACAAGTATGGCTTTCATAAAGAAACACATGACTTGGGTGATAAGATGTGTTTTGTTGTAAAATGGGCCTGTTTGGTTTTCTGCTGGCCAGCGCTGGGTCACTGTGACAAAGCATATTTTGCGTCTGCCAATGAGGGGACCTGAAAAGATGACCAGCTGACCTCACCCCTTCCTTCTGTCTTCTGGTATATATTCTGTTGATTCCTGAGTTCGGCCTCTCTTCACATGCTGTCAGGACCGGAAGGATCTCCGCAGCACGCGAACCAGGGCAGAAGTGGCCGGCTACTTCTTAAAACATTACAATATGATTTTAGTATATTGTATTATATGGTGTTGTAATGTATTATAGTGCATTGCATTATTACCTTTGATAATTAAAACAGATTGTTTAAACTGGTATCTGGGTGTTCTCTGTCTGATTTCCTTCCTGTTATGATTTTAAGCAGGACTCGTCAAAACGACACGCGGAGCCGAGTGGGGTTGTAAAAACCTCAAAACTCCAACAAATGTCCCACTGTCTGGCTTCCTGCATAAAGTCAAGTGCTCGGCGCAGTTGTGGCGAAATGTCGTTCCTCTGTTTTCATTTAAACAGCTCCGTATATCCGTTAGCGCAGCTAGCTAGCACCAGATGCTAACAACAACAATGCACGTAAGGTCTCTCTCTCGCTCGCTCGGGCCACACATACACACACCCTCCCGGTCCTCCAGATGGCCAGTCAGTGCCTGCCGGTGAGCGTGGAAGTGTGGTCTGCCACAAGCGGGCGGCAGGAGCGGGGCTGTCAGCATCAGCTTGTAGATGGTATTTTAAACTCGATGCGCTCTGAAACTACGGGGCGGCCGAGGAAAAAAATACACATGCGTTAATCGCGTTAAAATAATTAGTGGCGTACATTTTTTTTTGTTATCGATATCGGTCTTGAGAAGCAGGAAGTTATCGGTATCGGTTTCAAAAAACCAATATCGTGCATCCCTAGTTAATGATTAGAGGTAACTGAGTTATTTATTTTGTTAAAGTTTCAGCTATTCTGTTTACAGTTCTGTCATCAGATTATTTAATACGATTTGTTAAAACGTTGTTTCTTTTGATGTGAAATATTATGTATTTAATTTAAATAAAAAGCAATGTTAGTTTTGTTCACAATTTGTTAGTTTACCTTATTTTTTTTCTCCAAAAGAACCGATAAGAGTACCGTTAAAAGACCGGACCGATAAGCGGTATCGATAAAAGTAGTAGTACTGTTAAAACCTTAACGATACCCATCCCCGGAGCGTTTGCAATGCACACACAAATGTGTTCTGTTTCATATAAATAAAAAATGTAAATAAAATCCAAATACAGAAAAAAGTTTTACATATGTATTTTTGATCCTCACATATTTGTTTTCCGTTTAACTGAACCTGCAAACACAAACCGCTTTCTGTGCACGGATCGCTGTGCATTCGTGTGTGGGTTTTTTGAGACTCCCCTGACGGTCACCGGATTCGTACTTGTAATTTTTTCTATCTATAGCCAATCAGATGTCTTCTTCATTCTAAGCCAATCACATGAGCGCGCCCCCACGAGGGTATGATTTCTTGCGTTCATGACACTTCATATACGCATTTTGCGCTGTCCGGTCAGCTCGCTAAACAGAGGGCGGGGCTTCAGGTGATCATGCAGAGCTGCATGTCTCCATCAGACTCAGCAGCTGATCTGATCTCTCTCTCGCGTTCGGTTATACTTCACTCGCGTTTATGTCCATATCGATCAGATCCATATCGATCAGATCCAGCTCTCCTGATCGGCCTTTATAGAGAGCACCGATCAAACTATTAAGAGTGAATATCGGCCGATAATGACCGGCGGGGCTCCCCCCGTTGACAGTTCACTGTCAAGCACTGGCTTCGTAGTGCACTGATCGATTAGGCTAAGCTAACCTGTAGCTGCTCCCTCCACACTCACAACAACTTCATACAGACATAAATAAAGCAGCTGTATTCGCCATACAGGAAACACACATTTAAAACGGTTTTGCCTGCCGTTTTTGTGTACACAAGCATTCATCAATGGTTCGGAAAGTGGCGCTGTACCTTAATAATATAAAGGCTTGTATTTGCGTGTATTTCCTGTTCGGAAAGTGGCAATGTATTGAGAGTGGAGGAGGTGTCCTGAGATTAGCGCCTGCAGGCAGGCTCCATGGACCTGTCAGCTCCGGACAGCGCAAAATGCGTACATGAAGCGCTGCGTCATCAACACAAGAAATCTACACTCGTGGGGGCGCGCTCATGTGATTGGCTTAGAATTGAGGAGACTATAGATAGAAAAAATTACAAGTACGAATCAGCTGACCGTCAGGGGAGTCTCAAAAAACCCACACACGAATGCACAGCGATCCGTGCACAGGTGCAGAGGTTTTAAACGGAAAACAAATATGTGAGGATCAAAAATACATATGTAAAACTTTTTTCTGTATCTGGATTTTATTTACATGTATATGAAACGGAACACATTTGTGTGTGCATTGAAAAACACAAGTGTGGATCCGGAAATACAAGTGTGAATCCTTCTGTGTGCATGTGTGTATTATGAGACTGTTCTGAGCCCATACAATCGGCCTATATATTTTTTGTAGGAGGACAGGCTGAAAAAAACGCAAAAGTAAAGTATGTAGAAAAAAAAGTTATAGTGTAGTATTTAAAAGAATGTCATATTATAGCATGTTAAAAATGTATGAAAAAACATATAGCATAAATAAAGTTTGTCTAAAAAGAAAAGTAATATGTGTATGTCTAAAATACCAGAAGAAAAGTATAGAATGTTAAAAAAATACACATAAAAGTTATAGTATAGTATTTAAGTAAGGTTAGTACTTCACCTTCCTGCTGATTGCCCACAAGCTCTAACAGTTTCCCAGAAGCCCTCATTACTGTTAACGCCAGATCATAATCTGTAGGAAGAAGAGAGAGATCTTAATAAAAGTGTTTGAGACATAAACAACACCTGCAGAGTGTCCCGTGTCTCTCACCCTCCTGGCTGGCCTGCTCTGCCTGAATCCTGTCGGAGACGTCGCTCATCTCCTTATAGAAACCTCTGAAGATGTTCTGCGTGCAGCCGGCAGCGTTACAGCTCCTCCAGAACCTGCTGGAGGCCCCGCTGGGGGAGGGGTCTGGGGGCGGGGCCACGGGAGAGGGAGGGGCCACGGGAGAGGAACAGGAAGTGGAGGGAAAGATGGCCCAGGGTCCAGCGCTGTGTGGATCAGATGGACTGTGGACAGGACTTCCCTCAGGACACAACTCCTGTTCTTGATTCATGTGCAGACTTCCTGCAACAACAGCACCTTTCTCCGGTCACTAGACATGTCCTATACTGTTTTACACATAGTATTAACCAACAAAAAAAAGTCTCATTGACTCTTTGACCTGCAAGCAGTATAACACTTGACATTAACAAACTAAATCTAGTGCGAGAGGTTAACCTCATACATTTGGATGTCTGCTTTGTAAAGTTGAAAGCTTATAAAGATGTATTCTATCACACAAGTCTGCTACATTCGGCATTCAATGCAAGTGTTAACAAAAGTGTGAACTGCCATGTTCCGGGTAATTATAATCAATATTCTAATATTAAAGCTTTTTGCTGCAAAATATGCATTTAATTTGTAAATGGAAAAAGGTTAAAATGGACAAATGGACCATTTGTTCACGATTTTTTGTTTTTTGAAGGTTCTTTTTTTTGGGCCAGATAGGGCTCTATTAGAGATTCTATAGAGTTGAAAGGGGGAGATGGAGGGGAGGACATTGCCTGAATGTTAGGCCGGCTTACTAGGCAACAGTTTACACATAACGGGCACTAACCATTGATCTATCTGGTGGCCCCTGGCTAGTGTTTTTAATCTTGTAGGGATGTGAACAATATTTAATTTGCTCTACTGCTGCCGTGGGGAAAAAATATATTAAATACTACGACAAAATTCATAGCCAAATTCATATTTAAGTGCCATTAATACAGGCCTAGGTCTCCTAACTTAGGCAGCATTAATCATAGAAGAAGAAACTTGTCTCATGTCAGCCAGTAGCAGTGCTCCCAAGCAAAGAATTAAGCGCTTTGTGTATTGTAGTTAAAAATCGCACTTGCACTTTATAAACTCAATGAATATGTGAAGACTTTATTCTGGTTGTGTTTACTGAATTTGAATGTATTTTCAAATGTACAATTACCTAACACTAAGTACATCTCATCGTGGTGTGAAAATGTACCTCCATCGTCTGTCTGTGTCTCCGTCTTACACAGAACTTCACTGGGAGGGAACACCGGAGACGTCTGAGTGGAGAAGTCAGCCTGAGAGAAAGGAGGCAGCAGACTCTCTGACTCAGTCTCCTGACAGGAGCAAACCCAAATCATGTCAGATGAAAAACCCTCAATATACCATTTATGGATCCAATATTTAAAAAAGGATATAGGTTCTGGGATTAAATATCAGATTCTCTTTAAAGGTCACCTATTATGCAAAATCCACTTGTTCATGTCTTTTATACATCAACATGTGTCCCCTCTGCGTAAAGAGACTCTGAAAGTTTCAGAAAAAAAGATTCTCTCACTTTTTGTCCTGATCCATTTATATAAAAACCTGTCTGAAAATGAGCTGATCAGATTTTGGCCACTTTATGATGTCATAACGATTTTTTGGCTTGTGTAACCATTAGCCAATCACCAACCAAGGTAACCCCCCCCACCTTAACACCTGAATCTCCTCCTAGAGCACCATTGTGTTCTTTTTAACCAAATGTCTCTCAGAGGGGCGTGGGGAGGGGCTCCTTATTTTCATCTAAAGTAACAGACAGAGAATCAGCACTTTTGAAACAGGGCTGAAACAGAGGGGATTATGGGTAATGCTGCAATGATCTGTTTGGTGTTTGGAGCCAAACACTTCAGAGACATGTTTTGTGTATATCTGAGACCTATAATATATTGATGAAAAACAGTATAATAGGGGACCTTTAAGAAACCACGAGTTAACATCACCAATTCTACTACAGGACTGAATGAGATTGAGAACACAAATATAGTTTATGAAATATTGCTAAAAGGAGAAATGTATAGTTTAGACTTTGATCTAATATGTAATGACTCACTGAATTGATTGTTTCATCGTCATCTGAAGCTCCGTCTCTGCTCTCTTCCTCCAGATTATCTTCTGTAGCAGACAGCAGCAGTTTGCAAAACCATTTTTAATTATGTCTTTTTCACATATTTAATGTAATCTGAGTCTGCTGTGCCGCCTACCTGAGGTGGATCGGCGATGACTCCCGTTGTGTTTCCTGTGAACAGAGAACACAACACACTGACTGATCATGCAAAGAGAAACCACAACATCCTGTGTAATAAAAACTGTTATTTACATGTTTGACACTGTGTGAGGTGATCATTATCATTGTGTTGATGCTAGAGGCGGTATGGGATGTTTTGTTGACGTCACATTAAAGACTGCATCTGTGATAAAGTGCAGCAGATTTCTTAATAAAGTCTTCACTCTATAAAATGTAAAAAAGGAAAGATAAATTAAACATCTTTCATAGCTTCTAACGGCATATTACATTTTTGGATTGCTTGTAATAATATTACAAATTATACATTTCACTCTATCTTTATTGTTTTACTATTATTACACTGGTTATTGTTTCAAATCAAATCAAGTTTTATTTATATAGCACATTTATAAACGATTTTTGGCCGAGCCAAAGTGCTGTACATAAAAATAGCCTACAGTAGAGACACTTTACAGCAAATACAACAGCACAGATTGTTCAGAATATCAGTATGAGAAAAACGACACCCTCTGTCCTTAGACCCTCACATCGTACAAGGAAAAACTTCCAGAGAAGACCCACAGTTTAAAGGGAAAAAATGGGAGAAACCTCAGGGAGAGCAACAGAGGAGGGATCCCTCTCCCAGGACGGACAGACGTGCAATAGATGCCGTGTGTAAATCGAAGAGATAATACATTTTACATCATATAGACCGAATGTTAGGAAATGCATGTGTCTGTAATAAGAAGATGAATCTACGAAGATGTCAGCTACAATATTAGGCTAATATTACAGTTCATGTATTGTAGACAATACATTCATTCCAATGTTCTGATAATGTCTATTATTATTACCAGTGAAGATGTTATATCTTAATAATGTCCACAAGAAACATAAATCCCAAAGACATCCAATTTACAACATTATCAAAAAGAAACGGAATTTAACAATTAATTTGACTATTAATGTAATAATGATTGTATCACTTGTGAGGTGTCTAGTGATATTGTTGTTCCTTCTTGCATGTACAATAAATGAGTTTAACAAATTATATAATGCAATTCAACACTACATGACTACAAACTACAAGACAGAAATGAGTCTCCCTAATAATACAAATAAAACAGTAGCTTCAACAAGTTCCCACAATGCACAGCACGATGCAAAAATGGTTGTACATTTCACATTGTAAATATCATAAAATGAAATAAAGTTATTTTCAGTGAATCACAGAGACTTGAGCCTACCTCGTCTGACAGCCAACAGGGTGAATAAATGAAAGAGAAGGAACATAAATATGAGATTATTGATCTTCTTCAACCACTATTGATGATGTTTCTGTTACCGAATCAAAAAAGAGACTTACGAGAGGCTCACCAACCAGGTGTTCACTATCATCTATATCAGTATCTAAAGGGGCCGTTATTGAATCCGGTTCATTATTGCCTGTAAGAGAAGGGAAAACACATTAAACCTTTGTTCAGTGTTCAATAGGTTATTTTCTCTCATGCGTTGTAAGTGTGTTAACCTGAATTTGAAGAATCATCCCGCAGTGAAGCCCATGAGACTTTAGAACTACGTTTAGAAGGGGTCCCGTTCTGTCTGTGAGGAGAGAGTCAGTTATTATTAACACTGTCACTGTAAAGTGTACGGATAAACAAGTAGCTTGATTTTAAGTCAAAATAAAAGTAAGTGAATTTAAACATGAACATATTTCACACTGTGTCCCTCAGACCTTCATCAGGCAAAGGTAGACAAAACCCCATGTTGTTTAATATTAAAAATTGAACTCCTATTTAAGTTATTTGTGTTTTGTTTTTTTAATACATATTATAGGTACATTACTAATAGTCTATAAATATGTTTTTTTGTAGTTTATGTTACTTGTCTGGATTCGTTTTTTAAGAATAGAGCAGATTTAACTAGTGAACATCTGATATTAAGTTTGGTAGTTTGTGTTTGGTTGGTAGCAGGGTGATTTTGTCCACCCTCAATCGGTAACCATCATGAATCACCTGAAACCTAAACACCCCAGTATTCTGGTCTTAAGTAAGTTCACATCTAAAAACAACTCAAGCTTCATAAAGAGACATAGATAGAGAATATGTTGGTGGTGTTAGTCTTGGTGTTGATGGCCCGGTCCATTAAAAGGTGATCTTTTTCCTTTTTTTATATAAAGTGCATTCAAAGTATGCTTTTTGCACTGATATGCATTGTCAGCTACTTGAGTCTTGAATTTCCAACAGGTCCCCTTTAACACCGAATATACAGTATTTCATTAATTTGGTGTATTGTGATTATTAGACCTGTTTGATTTTAAATAACCGTTAGTGTACAGTGGGTTTCTATATTTTGTCTAATATGACGCTGTTTGTAACATAAATAAGTTCTTACTTAATGCTTAACCTTAAATTGAATGTATGTTGCTGTCATACTCTGATTGGTGGATTTCCCCCTTTTAGCCTTTATACGCATGGTCATGGTTATATATATTTACTTTGCCTGATAAAAGTCTTTGAACCCACAGTGAGGACGAGTGGGCAGGATCATTGTTTGATCAAGTCAGAGTTTTTTACCCTACACATCTCTCATAAAGCTTTATTGTGCAAGAAGTGTTTTGAAATTGTTAACAGAAGGAGCTATATAATTGATTTTTAAATACAAATAATAAGGGTTGATATGCTACAAACTTTACAAAAACATTTCAAGACTTTTAGGGAACAACTTTAAACCTTAAAAAACAGCAAAGCCCAGCATGAAAATAATTACACACTTACTTGTCTGTGAAACTCAACCGTCTCTGTTTCAAAAGCAAAATCAGAATGATTAAAATCACCATAACATGGTGAGATTAAAGTATTAAAAAGCTGTATTTATGTGATCGTGAACAGTATGTGTACCTTGATAGATGAAGGCTTCCTACTGCTGGATGAGTTTGAGTCACTGCTGTACACAGTCGGCCGCTGGTCAGTAGAGTCACCTGTCGAGAAGAATAATCACTTTATCTGTAACATTAGGAATACAACAATTTAAAACACAAGACAGAGTTGCTGTGAGCACGACATACCACTGGCATTCTTCTTGTGTGAACCAGGAGCATGTTTGTCACAATATGACCTAAAAACACACGAATGGATGTTAGAAAGGGATCAGATATCAATGTTCATAGAGGGCAAATTATTTCCTATGTTAGCCATAAGAGAAAACAGAAAAGAGAGAGACTAACTGAACTAACGAGGCGTATTGCTCAACTGGATGACCTCTATTCCGTTTCACCAACTGTGTGTGTAATGTGTATAAGGAACGCCTCATTCTTCAATCGGAATTGAATACGCTGACCGCAGACCAGGCTGCTGCACTTCTTCTTAAGGCTAGAAGTAATTATTACGAACAGGGTGACAAAGCTGGCAGATTACTGGCGCATCAATTACGACAGAATGTTGCCTCTTACCAGATTCCCAGAATCCAAACATCCTCGGACATTACGATCGATCCCCAAAGAATTAACGATGAGTTTAGAGACTATTATACTTCGTTATACACATCTGAAACCAGCTCAGACACGCAGGATTTGGACAATTTTTTTACCACCCTCGAAGTCCCTTTGATACATCCTGATATGACTGAGGATTTGGAGAAGCCAGTAACTGCTGTCGAACTCTCCGTTGCTATTGCATCGATGCAAGGCGGAAAATCTCCGGGGCCGGACGGTTATCCACTGGAATTTTACAAGAAGTTTCAACAGAAATTATCCCCTGTTTTGATAGATATGTTTAGTGAATCATTTAATTATACTAGTTTACCCCCAACGCTTAATCAGGCCTCGATCTCCCTCATTTTAAAAAGGAATAAGGATCCCCTTGCATGCTCCTCCTACCGACCAATTAGCTTGTTAAATGTGGATTTTAAATTACTGTCTAAAATGCTCGCTTTACGATTGGAAACCGTGTTACCAACCATTATCTCTCCCGATCAAACCGGCTTCATCAAAAATAGGCACTCATTTTTTAACTTAAGACGACTTTTTAACACAATCTACCAACCTTCCGCAAATTCTGTACCTGAAGCTGTGATATCTTTAGATGCAGAAAAGGCATTTGATCGTGTGGAGTGGAGGTATCTTTTTCACACCTTGGAGAAATTTGGCTTTGGAAAGAACTTTACCTCATGGGTGAAGCTATTGTACTCCTCTCCCCTAGCTTCAGTGAGAACAAATAATACGCATTCTGAATATTTCCCTCTCCACTGCTCCACCAGGCAGGGTTGTCCCTTGAGCCCTCTCTTATTTGCCTTAGCTATTGAGCCCCTCTCCATCGCTCTTCGCTGTGACTCCCGCATTAGAGGTATTTTCAGAAATGGGGTAGAACAGAGAGCTTCTCTTTACGCGGATGACCTTCTTCTTTATGTCTCTAATTTATCTGTGTCTGTCCCTGCAGCTCTCTCTATCATTAGCTCATTTGGTGCTGTATCCGGTTATAAACTCAATTTAAGTAAAAGCGAATTGTTCCCTTTAAATAGAGCGGCGCGTGATTTCCCTCTACATAGTCTACCATTTAAAATCGCACTACACAGCTTCACTTACCTCGGGATCCAGGTGACCGATACATTTAAAGATCTTTATAGAGCTAATTTTGCCCCCCTTTTGTCCCGCGTACAGGAAGACTTCGACCGTTGGTCAGTGTTAAATCTGTCTCTGGTTGCCCGAATTAACTCTATAAAGATGAATATACTCCCCAAATTTCTATATTTATTTCAATGTGTGCCCATTTTCCTACCTCAAACTTTTTTTCGTAAAACTGACACTATTATTTCTAACTTTATTTGGAACAAGAAAACCCCAAGGATACGCAAGCAATTTTTACAGAGACCAAAGGCGCGGGGTGGACTTGCTCTGCCGAATTTGAGGTTCTATTATTGGGCTACAAACCTGAGAATAATACAGTCCTGGCTGCAGTCTGACTCACAGCATTCTCCACCTGTTTGGCTTGAAATGGAGGCTGCTTCCTGTAGTCCAGTATCTCTTTCAGCATTGGCTCACTCTCTCATTAAGACCCCCTCCTCTGCTTACACTAAAAATGTAATTGTCAAAGCAACCTTGAACATTTGGAATCAGTTCAGACGTTTCTTTGATCTCCAAACATACTCTACACTAGCCCCTGTAACTGCAAACCATGTGTTTCCTCCATCCTTAGTAGATGGCGCATTTACTATTTGGTTTAACCAAGGCGTTAAAACATTCAAAGACCTTTATATTCACAACACATTTGCCTCTTTCCAACAGATATCTGACACATTTGCACTACCTAGGCAACATTTCTTCAGGTATCTACAGATTCGCAGTTTTGTTAATAATAGATTTCCTCAGTTTCCTAATCACCCAGCTGATTCGCCGCTAGACGCACTCCTTAGGCCGTTACCTACTCTGAAGGGAATGATGACGTGTATTTACGCTCAGATTTACTCTCTTCGTTTGGTTACCCTGAACTCCATTAAATCTCTTTGGGAAACAGATCTTGGGGAGGAGACTTCAGAAGAACTTTGGGAAAAAGCCCTTGCTAATGTACACAAATCTTCTATTTGTGCTAGACATGGACTGATTCAGTGCAAAGTAGTACATCGCACACACTTCACTAAGCTTAGGCTCTCTAAAATATATAAGGAAGCGGACCCAACTTGTGACAGATGTAGACAAGCACCGGCGAGTCACGCACACATGTTCTGGTCTTGTCCGGTCTTACACTCTTATTGGACTGACATCTTTAGATCACTGTCAGAAATTACTGGAAAACCGGTCACTCCTAATGCCATGACCGCACTGTTTGGTGTAACCCCACCCACATGCCCACTCTCTTCTCTGGAGACAGCCTACATAGCCTTTGTTACCTTACTAGCCAGACGCCTGATATTGCTCATGTGGAAGTCTCCAACATCCCCTTCACACACCTCGTGGTTAAAAGAAGTCCTAAATTCAGCCAAACTCGAGAAAATAAGGTGCATAGTGAGGGGCTCCTTGGGGAAATTCCACAAGATGTGGAACCCCTTCTACAAGTATATACGGGAGCTGGACATGCCGGATGTCTCTGTACAATAGGGTGATGGACCTGCGGTGTTAAACTGTGATTAGCAGACTGACCAACAAGTGCTGTGTTTTTATTTTATTTGATATACTTGGTCTTTTTGTTCCATTTATACACATTATTTGATCTCTAAATTGCATTATGGTATTAATAATGGACTTAGACTCAGAGCCTTTAGATCCTGACTTTGTTTTTGTTTGTTTTTTGTTTTTGTCCTGTCGCAGTCCATTTTTTGTTTCGTTTTATTTGTTTTACACAAATCACACTGTTGTCATCCTAACTTGTTTGCCAACTGCTATTGTGTTGTCCGTCTGGCTGTTTGTTGATAAAAAATAAAAAATAAAAAGTTTAAAAAAAAAAGATATCAATGTTCAGAGCATACAAAGGTTTAGTTTTAGCCTTATAAAGAAAGAGATTTGCAAAATGTGAACATACTTACATAACAACGCTATAAGACAAACTTTCCAAGCTGATGTTTCCTTCTGACTTCTCACAGGTAAGGCAATAAACCTGTGAAAACAAATGTGTGTTGATAAATATGATTGCACTTATAGACATTACTACAGAAATTTGAACTGCATTTATTTATTTTAAGTCATCTTGCAGCTGCAAAACTGCAAAAAAAATGGTATTACTCAGCCCCTGAAACTAGTCCCCAAATTATGCACACATTTCTGCTGCTCGAGTGGCTTTTGTTTAAATCTACAGAGCCCAACTCTTTAAAGTGGACCTATCATGCTATATTTGAATAATATATTGTGGGGCCATACCTATATAAAACATGTCTGTGAAGTTTTAAAAAAAAATACCAAACAGATCATGCATTTTAGCCATGCCTCATTTTGCTCTATTTGCTCCATTCCAGCCCAGTCTTCACAAGGGCTGATTCTGTGGCCAATCAATCAATCAATCAATGTTTATTTATATAGCCCAATATCACAAATGTTACATTTGTCTCAGTGGTCTTCACAGTGTGTACAGAATATCAGTATGACAATACGACATCCTCTGTCCTAAGACCCTCTGTCCTTAGACCCTCACATCGTACAAGGAAAAACTTCCAGAGAAAACCCACAGTTTAAAGGGAAACATGGGAGAAACCTCAGGGAGAGCAACAGAGGAGGGATCCCTCTCCCAGGACAGACAGACGTGCAATAGATGCCGTGTGTAAATTGGATAATAGATAATACATTTGCAACATAGGTATAGCAAATGAGCTGCAGCTGACCACGCCCCCCTGCAAAGGAGGTGTTCTGCTGATATAGGCTTAGTTTGTCGGGGGACATCTTACTTCTTCCTTCTCTCTGTCTATACCTGTGTACTCTCATGTTCCGATTAACCCAGCTTCCCCAAATGTATTTCTTTTTGGTGTCTATATACGCCGGGATCTGGAGACATGGATGATCCTGCGGTCCTGTGTCCTGCATCGCGAGCCCTGGATCTTGAGTCGTGGCTGTGGTCCTGGATCATAGGTCCTGGATGGATATCCTCGTGGATTCATATTCCTATTATACACACAAGCATTTCCAAACATTTAGACTACCTATGTTGCAAATGTATTATCTTTTCAATTTACACACGGCATCTATTGCACGTCTGTCCGTCCTGGGAGAGGGATCCCTCCTCTGTTGCTCTCCCTGAGGTTTCTCCCATTTTTCCCTTTAAACTGTGGGTTTTCTTCGGAAGTTTTTCCTTGTACGATGTGAGGGTCTAAGGACAGAGGGTGTCGTATTGTCATACTGATATTTTTGTACAAATTGTGAAGTCCACTGAGACAAATGTAACATTTGTGATATTGGGCTATATAAATAAACATTGATTGATTGATTGATTGATTGAGGGGGGCGAGGCACGAGCGTCATGTTACCATGCTGCTACCATGCTGCTACCATGCCACGCAACCTCATTCCCCTGATAGGTGGAGAGTTGCCCATATAGGCGGAGCACCCCTTTTCTGACATCAGAAATGTGTTGAAATCTGTATCAGCTCCGTTGCAGCCCCGCTTTTAGAGATTTGGGTATGGAGGAAAAGAGAGAGGGTTGTGTTTTCTGACACTTATGGCGTGTTTCCACTGCAGTGGGTAGCTCGCTTTAAGCATGCCGAGCCGTGCGGAGCCCGTTTTTGGTTGCGTTTCCACTTGGCCTAGTTTTGGCCGGGGCTACTTTTCACCTTTTTTCTGGCCCGACTAAATCGTGGTTCTAGGGCCAGGAACAACCAGGCTGAGTCGGGCTGAGTATGCTAAACTAGAGAGAGAATCGCTGGCAAGGGGGCTACAACTACAACAAGATGAACATATTTGACCGTGATTTAATTGTAATTCACGTTTCAAAATGATGCCGAAGTAACAACATACTGATACCGGTTAGTAAAAACCATGAATTAATGCTTTGACAAGCCTGCAGACAGACGGCAGGCGAAAAACCCTTTTAAAATGCATGTTTTCTAAATGTAGCTTGGCTAAGCTAACGTTGTATATGCTCCGACCGTCCACACTCACAACAACGGCCTATACAGACATAAATAAACCAGCGACTGTATTTGCCATGATACAGACAGTCTGTGGTTTGTACTTGTTAAACTTTTGTCTAGTTTCTGAACAGATATGAGGAGCTGTGAGCTCTGAGTACTAAGAGCTAACGGCTCTGTTGTTTTTCTGGGGCTCTCATTGAAGATGACATCACGGCTCCGCCTACACTGCGTTACTATAGTAACTGCCCCAGTTCCTAAACTGTAATGGAAGCGCAGCATTAAAGTGAGCCGGGCCTAATAAGGCCTAACCACTTTTAAATCCAGGCTGAAGACTTTTCTTTTTGTCGCTGCTTTTAATTGAACTATTCATATCTTAGACTGCACTGTAACTTTTATCCATGTACTTTTTTTTCTTTTAATATTTAATTGACTGCACTGTAACTTTTATCCATGTATTTTTTCTTTTAATGTTTATTTTATTAGCTTTTCTTTTTAATGACTGATTTTAAATGCCATTTTCTTAATCTCTTTCATTTTTTGTAAAGCACTTTGAATTGCCTTGCCTTGCCTTGCCTTGCCTTGCCTTGCCTTGCCTTGCCTTGCCTGCCTTGCCTTGCCTTGCCTTGCCTTGCCTTGCCTTGCCTTGCCTTGCCTTGCCTTGCCTTGCCTTGCCTTGCCCTTCCTTGCCTTGCCTTGCCTTGCCTTGCCTTGCCTTGCCTTGCCTTGCCTTGCCTTGCCTTGCTTGCCTTGCCTTGCCTTGCCTTGCCTTGCCTTGCCTTGCCTTGCCTTGCCTTGCTGCCTTGCCTTGCCTTCCTTGCCTTGCCTTGCCTTGCCTTGCCTTGCCTTGCCTTGCCTTGCCTTGCCTTGCCTTGCCTTGCCTTGCCTTGCCTTGCCTTGCCTTGCCTTGCCTTGCCTTGCCTTGCTGCCTTGCCTTGCCTTGCCTTGCCTTGCCTTGCCTTGCTTGCCTTGCCTTGCCTTGCCTTGCCTTGCCTTGCCTTGCCTTGCCTTGCCTTGCCTTGCCTTCCTTGCCTTGCCTTGCCCTTGCCTTGCCTGCCTTGCCTTGCCTTGCCTTGCCTTGCCTTGCTTGCCTTGCCTTGCCTTGCCTTGCCTGCCTTGCCTTGCTTGCCTTGCCTTGCCTTGCCTTGCCTTGCCTTGCCTTGCCTTGCCTTGCCTTGCCTTGCCCATTGCCTTGCCTTGCCTTGCCTTGCCTTGCCTTGCCTTGCCTTGCCTTGCTTGCCTTGCCTTGCCTTGCCTTGCCTTGCCTTGCCTTGCCTTGCCTTGCCTTGCCTTGCCTTGCCTTGCCTTGCCTTGCCTTGCCTTGCCTTGCCTTGCCTTGCCTTGCCTTGCCTTGCCTTGCCTTGCCTTGCCTTGCCCTTGCCTTGCCTTGCCTTGCCTTGCCTTGCCTTGCCTTGCCTTGCCTTGCCTTGCCTTGCCTTGCCTTGCCTTGCCTTGCCTTGCCTTGCCTTGCCTTGCCTTGCCTTGCCTTGCCTTGCCTTGCCTTGCCTTGCCTTGCCTTGCCTTGCCTTGCCTTGCCTTGCCTTGCCTTGCCTTGCCTTGCCTTGCCTTGCCTTGCCTTGCCTTGCCTTGCCTTGCCTTGCCTTGCCTTGCCTTGCCTTGCCTTGCCTTGCCTTGCCTTGCCATTGCCTTGCCTTGCCTTGCCTTGCCTTGCCTTGCCTTGCCTTGCCTTGCCTTGCCTTGCCTTGCCTTGCCTTGCCTTGCCTTGCTTGCCTTGCCCTTGCCTTGCCTTGCCTTGCCTTGCCTTGCCTGCCTTGCCTTGCCTTGCCTTGCCTTGCCTTGCCTTGCCTTGCCTTGCCTTGCCTTGCCTTGCCTGCCTTGCCTTGCCTTGCTTGCCTTGCCTTGCCTTGCCTTGCCTTGCCTTGCCTTGCCTGCCTTGCCTTGCCTTGCCTTGCCTTGCCTTGCCTTGCCTTGCCTTGCCTTGCCTTGCCTTGCCTTGCCTTGCCTTTGCCTTGCCTTGCCTTGCCTTGCCTTGCCTTGCCTTGCCTTGCCTTGCCTTGCCTTGCCTTGCCTTGCCTTGCCTTGCCTTGCCTTGCCTTGCCTTGCCTTGCCTTGCCTGCCTTGCCTTGCCTTGCCTTGCCTTGCCTTGCCTTGCCTTGCCTTGCCTTGCCTTGCCTTGCCTTGCCTTGCCTTGCCTTGCCTTGCCTTGCCTTGCCTTGCCTTGCCTTGCCTTGCCTTGCCTTGCCTTGCCATTGCCTTGCCTTGCCTTGCTTGCCTTGCCTTGCCTTGCCTTGCCTTGCCTTGCCTTGCCTTGCCTTGCTTTGCCTGGCCTTGCCTTGCCTGCCTTGCCTTGCCTTGCCTTGCCTTGCCTTGCCTTGCCTTGCCTTGCCTTGCCTTGCCTTGCCTTGCCTTGCCCTTGCCTTGCCTGCCTTGCCTTGCCTTGCCTTGCCTTGCCTTGCCTTTGCCTTGCCTTGCCTTGCCTTGCCTTGCCTTGCCTTGCCTTGCCTTGCCTTGCCTTGCCTTGCCTTGCCTTGCCTTGCCTTGCCTTGCCTTGCCCTTGCCTTGCCTTGCCCTTGCCTTGCCTTGCTTGCCTTGCCTTGCCTTGCCTTGCCTTGCCTTGCCTTGCCTTGCCTTGCCTTGCCTTGCCTTGCCTTGCCTTGCCTTGCCTTGCCTTGCCTTGCCTTGCCTTGCCTTGCCTTGCCTTGCCTTGCCTTGCCTTGCCTTGCCTTGCCTTGCCTTGCCTTGCCTTGCCTTGCCTTGCTTGCCTTGCCTTTGCCTTGCCTTGCCTTGCCTGCCTTGCCTTGCCTTGCCTTGCCTTGCCTTGCCATTGCCTTGCCTTGCCTTGCCTTGCCTTGCCTTGCCCTTGCCTTGCCTTGCCTTGCCTTGCCTTGCCTTGCCTTGCCTTGCCTTCCTTGCCTTGCCTTGCCTTGCCTTGCCTGCCTTGCCTTGCCTTCCTTGCCTTGCCTTGCCTTGCCTTGCCTTGCCTTGCCTTGCCTTGCCTTGCTTGCTTGCCTTTGCCTTGCCTTTGCCTTGCCTTGCCTTGCCTGCCTTGCCTGCTTGCCTTGCCTTGCCTTGCCTTTGCCTT